TTTTTTTTTTTTTTCAGTTAATGTAGGTTACCTTTTGATGATATCATGAAGCCTTTATGTTTGAAACCCATACTGGGAAAGGACTGAATAAAGTTCCACATGGATGTCAGAAGAATAACCTGTCTTATAATTTTTTGGAGTGTCTAGATTAGGGAAAATACCCACAGGGAGTGGGTATGGCCTGGAGACCTTCCCCAACATGGGCTAACGACACTTTCTAGAGCGAGTCAAAGCGCCAGTGAACCAAAACGAATGCAGTGATACCTGTGAGAGCAGGCCATCCATCCCTTTCACCCTGGGGTTGATGACTATAGCGATGCCAGCATGACATTGAAAACCAGGGCACATTAACACAGTTGTCACCCCTACGTTTAAAGCTTAAGAGGAGCCTAGAGCTTCAAGACACCCTCTAGTAACAAAGACCCCCAACTGCCATGACAATTAGTCTTGTGTAAAGCTGAGGGTGGAGTGAACAGAGGAACTGCAAGGTTCCATTGGCTGTAGGGTATGCCAGGTCTCTCTGTGGCACTACTGAGAGTCAGACGGGCCCCTGATATGCTGCACACTGAAGAGACTATACACGTGTGTGAAACAGCAGATGGGGTTTAGATATTCTCTGATCAAGTTCCTTCACTTCAGTTTCTCTGACAGAATCCCTGGCCTGTGCCTTAACAACATCCACACATTCATCTTCCCACTACTTCTTGATAAGGAGTTTGAAAACTTGCCGTGGGCTGCACATAGATCTCACGAGAGTTCATGGTGGAGCTGCAGCCCTCAACTTCAGCCAGCCTTTCATTCTGTTTGTCGTCAGATACATCTAATGGCAAGTGGGTGTTTAAACCACAGGGAAGGGACAGCAAGAACAAATATATAATTAGACATGTTTCCTGGCTGTGTGCTTTGTGGGTAGGCCTGTGGGTTTTCTCCTGGGTGACTTGCCCTAATTGTATCATCAGCTTCCCCCAGCAGACAACTGGGCTGGGTTTGATCCATGAACTTGAAGCTTGAGGTGAGGAATCGTGCATCTACGAGAGCAATTATAATTATAATTAAGAGTGGGTTGGTTTTCTTTTCGGTTTGCCTTCTCATTTCTCACTGAGCATGGCAGGGATTTCCATTAATAATAAAGACATTCTAGAGATGTAGAATTAGGAACTGGTTGACTCTGGTTAATTGGCATATTATTGTATTCCCATAAATTCTGTCTGGGACTGCTGTGAGTAGATTTAAAGCTACTGGGAAGAAATAAAACAGCCCTTTACAATGAAGTTGTTTTAAGCTTGCAGCTTTTGTGTTTCTAGTGACTTCGAAGCTGGATAAGTATTAACTTGAGTATTTTATTTTGAAGAATACTAAAGAAACGACATGATAAGAGTTTCTGGTGGATATTCATAAACTGCCTTTGGATCTGAGAGACAGAGAGTTTTATGAAACTGTGTAAAAGTGAAAATAACAGTATGACACACATTCACTTTCTGCCTCCTCTTGGGTAGTCCATTCACCTCATTTCATCTCAGAAAAAGTGGGATTATTGATGGTAAAAACCCAACTCTATTTATAATTGGGACATGCTAATTGCAGTATTTTAAAGAAGCTAACACTGTTCAAAATAAACAGCATTTTCAATTTGCAAATAGTGATAACAAAGAATAATTGGGGATTTTCTTTGGAGTACTATTTACAGTAGATTTTAGTGAAAGTTGAAGGAGCCGAGTCAGTTCATATGCAGCTTATAAATGTGCTTTAATTGGCGCTGTCTTCAGGCCACAGGCCCGTCAGTGGTAGAAATAACACCAGAATGGAGTCAGCAGGTGTATTAACCAAAAGTCTTTGGACTTCAGTTGCTGAAGATCTCTAAGTATTAGTTTGCCCATCTTTGAAATGGGGAAGATAATGTATAACTCACAAGGCTGCTGATAATATTCATATGCAGGGTCAGGACTAGGGTGAGGTAATCAAGGTGCTTGGGATGCACAGTTTAAGGAGGCAGGTCTCAGCTGCAAACTCTGTCCTTGCATAGCCCTTACATTCTGCACCCCATGAGCCTCCTTCACCTCTCTCTAGTCCTGGTGCTGTAAAAGAGGTAGCCCTATTACCATGCCCGGATCATATGGAGGCTCAAAATAAAGTGCTTTTCTACTATTTGTCCTGTCTGCCTCATAGGTATCTTTTGAAAAGTACATAGGGAAAAATAGAGAAATGTACTCGTGTAGTGCTCTACAAATCTTAGCTGATACTAAATCACACCGAATCACTATTAAACCCCTGCTACAGTTATTAGTTGCAATGATGTTCTCATTAGCAAAGATATGTGTATGTGTATATACATACAATAGATATTATGAACGTTTGAAGAATTTCAATGAAAAGTGTGTATTACTGTGTTGAGAGTAGCCCTTTAAAGTAGGATTGTATTTTTTCCTGAGGACAAATTATAAACTTTGTGAAATTAGGGATGGTCTTCTCTTGCCTTGTTTAATTTGACTGCCAGCCCAGCACCATAAGTATATAGGCAAATCGTATCAGAAAATTAATGGGATTGGAAAAATAAATCAGAACTGAACATTGTTCTAGACTTGGATAGCCTTTAGCAGGTAACTGGTGCTGACTGCTGGCTGGCTGGAGACAGCAGTGGGCATGGCAAGGGTTTCTGGTAGATATACATAAACTGCCTTTTGGATCTAGGGGACGGAGAGTTTTATGAAACTTTCTAAAAGTGAAAATGATAATATGACACGAATTCAACCTCTGCCACCTCTTGGGTAGTCCATCTATCTCATTACAACTCCAGCAAAAGCAAAATTATTGATGATAAAAATCCAACCATTTGGACAATGACCATTTAAACTGGGGAAATGCATAAGCAGGCAGCTAGAGGGGCTGGTGTTCTTATCACCCAGAAACTGGCTCATTTGGGTGAGAGGGGCACCAAAAGCAGCCATCTATGGCAGTCTCTGGCTCAGCCTTAAGCACCCTTTAAAGAGATTCTACAAGAATTGCCTGACTCCATATGATTTAAAAGCTAAATTTATTCAGAGAAAAGAAAGATTTTTTGCTGAGGGAAGGACGTTGCTGTGTGTTTCATCACATGAGTCGTGGCAGATAATTTGGGTTGAGTTCAAACACAATGTACTTTTCAAAATGTAAATCTGTGAAGACAAGCTGCATTTTTAGAGCCATTACAGTTTTAGAGATTTTATGCTGTAATCTGAATTTGTAGTCAAGGTCAGTGGCTAAAGAATGCTATTGAAAGGGCCTAGTCTGGGTCAGACAACTGATTTGGGGAAGATCTGACTGATGTCTTCTTTTGTGCAGGGAGAGTTATTCTCTCACTGGGTTTTCTGTGCACCAGTAGGAAAAGAAGCTGCGCGCACATGGTATGTGTGTCTGTGTTGCTCCAAAACCCATCCCAGGCTGTGTTGCAGTCCTTAGTGAAACGGAGAGATTTTGATGAGTCACTAATAACTGTTTTCCCGGGACTGGTCATTTAACATATACAGGCACACTCAGATTTCTGCTGTGGTATAGAACAGACTGGGGAGTGAAAACCTGCCCGTGTCTCTGTTTCATACTGTGGGAAATGTTTGTCTTCATTCTTTCTCCATAGAGAGGCGGTTTCCATGATCGATGGACAATCTAAAGTCTAGAATAATAGTAGTTACCATGTTCTGAGCTTGTGTAGCTATCATATTCTCTATCTTGTGATGTGCCAGGCCCTACTCCAGGTCCTTCATGTCACACCAGCCTCATGATCTAGGTGTTATCTTGTCTTTAATTTTCAGATTTAGGAACTGCGCCACAGCTAAGTTCCATGCTCAAGGTAGTAAATGTCACTTCTGTATACCTCGCCTGGGCTCACACTCATCCTGATGCAGTAACTTGGAAATCCTTTGTCTGTGTGCACACTCATGTTTGCTTTTGAAGAACATTGAAGAGATTCTACCTTGAATAGGAAGTGTTTACACTGAGGTCCTTGCTCTCTCTGTTGAGTACTAAAAGTGAGGGCCACCAAGGCAAAGTGACAAGTGGTGCCATCCTCTCAGATTTGATGCTTCTGCTTGGGGTAGATTTGTGAGGGAGTCTCAAACTCCAGCCCTTTCAGGGGCCAAGGCAGGCCACGTGAATGAGTGAAGCAGGCTGGGCAGAGACTCCACTAAATTGCTAGTGTCCTTTGGACGCAGCTGCAGACACTTGTTGCCATGAAGGATTAGCCAGGGTCGCCTTATAGTTTAATTTTTCTGGAGAAGTCAAGCATTGAGATTAAAACATTTTTGTTAGAAATGTTGAGAATTAATTTTAAGCGTTTATAAATAGTACAAACTAACCCAAACACATCCATGGGCCAGATATAGATAATGGGCTGTCATTTCTGTGTAATTTCTGTTCTGGGTGAATGATGAGTCACCTACAAAAGGCTTCAGTTTCTTGATCTTCCTGTTAGGAGGAAAAGGAGCTATCACCTATGGGAAACCCCAGGACTGGGGAATTGTGTAATAGAGGGGCATATTTTCTGTGTAGTGCCTACGTATAGCCTTGTACACTCTTATCTCTCTGCACTATACAGTTCCTTGAGCGCTAGCTACATGTAGCTATTTTAATTAAAGCTAAATAAAATTAACAGTTCAATTACCTACTTTCACCAACCACATTTCAAGGACTCAAAAGCCACATGTGGCTGGTGGCTACCATATTGGACAGAGCAAAGTAGAACATTTCTATTGTCACTGAGGTTCTTCTGAACAGTCCAAGTCCAACTCTAGATTCTTAGGCTTTGGCAGCCCAGGCTATCTTATGACTAAGTGTTCTTTCTGATATTGGCTCTTCCTGGTATTGGCCAACAGTTACTGCAATTGCCCTGGTGGCTTAAGCTTGTTTGCTTTGCTTAGGTCTCTCCATTAGTCCAAAAATATCTCAGCATTCGGCCATTTCCAGATGCCTTACTATTGGCTCATAAAGATGTGTTTGGAGATGGTGTTTGGTCACCAAGGAAAAAAGGAACTCTTGTTACCTCTTGCACTTCTCCTTCACACTATTTATTGCCATTACAATGTTATATTTGTTGGGAAGTGAATGCTTACTCTCCACGAGAATCCCACTACGAGTCCCAAGGAAAGGGATCATGTGCTTGCCATTTTTTCTTTGGTGCCCTACAGAGTTCCTGGCAGAGTGGGCAGCCACAACTGTTGGATAAAGTTAAGCCCTGGGTAGGATAATTTTCCTTTACAATAGTGTCCAGTGTAGGCAAAATATCATTCCCAACAAGAAAAATGGCACAGCTCAAAAAAAGTAATTTCCATCATGTGTTGGCTTATAACGTGCCGTGGTGAGATTCAGAATCACACGGTCCCTGTTCCTTTCACAGTAATAAACCCAAAGCAATTGAATGCAGAGCTATCAACATGAATAAGGGCAACTCAACTAGGACTTTCTCATGCATCCAGCATTAAAGAGTTTTTGTTAACATCCACAGTAACTCGTTAAACTTTGTGTGAAAACATTCACAGTTAGTAGTGAAACTGTGTGTGATTCTGCGGTCACATTAAAAGGTGTTTTGGATAGGCTAATTATCCTTTATCATCCTTTTTGGTGTTATGACTATTTAACCTCTTTTTATATAAACTTAAATATCCTTTGCTCACACAGTGATCCAGACAGCTGGATACTCCTTATAGCGTATTCAGGAGTCTTCAGAGGTCCCTCTTGGACATCTACTGGTTGCCATGGGTGAGCATCACATCCAATGTAAAAAGCCGAATATTCTTGGGACAAATTAATACTGATGGTTAGAAGTAAAACAATGGACTAATAAAATAAAAAGATGTTTTTCTTTAAGTTTTCAAAAAGGGAAAATAGATTTTTCTTTATTTCAGAAAAGGAAGAATGTATGGCATTACTATAAGCTCCACAAAGGCAAGGACTGTGGTTTTGAGGATGGTCCTTAGAATGTCTGTCCTTCAGGTCCATCTAGTGAGAGTCTTTAAAAAATATATCAGATGCTGTGGTAGACACCAAACAAACTGTATCCCTCATTCCCTGGCTCTAAGTTAGACAAAATAAGCTAGCTGGACCCCAAATATCTGATCTTTTGAAACAATTAGATGACAGTGATGGAATGATATATAATTAGGCATCATCAAAAATAGTTCAGGTATAACATAAATCCTCTAGAGAGTTGAAGAAAGATAAGAATATTTGGGGCTAAACTGATGAGGCAAGGCTTTATGGGAAAAGTGGGGAAAATTGACACACAGATATGAATAGGTGAGAGTAGAAGGGAAGTCATTAACATTGGAGAAGAGAGAAAAAGGAGACTGAATCCTGGTATGAGCCAAGTAGCAAGAATGAGTAGACAGGATATGTTTATAGAACAGCAATGATTCTGATTTGACTTTTTACTGAGAAAAGGTGGGTTGACTGTTTTCAGCCTATTATATATGAGGATGCAGAAATTGGATCTACTAACTTGATTTAGCCAGCAACACATAGTTAGAAATGAGTAAAACCATATTGGGTGTGTGGGGGCTCCGCCTGTGGTAGTTGACACTTCTTTTTTTGGCAAGGATGGCTTGGTTGATCTGGGCATTAAAAGGAAATGCCCTTCTCCTTTCCTAAAAGTGACCTTCCTAGATACCAAATAGAAGATAATGACTGTTTAGTCAAGGAAAGATGGGCAGTCCCCAGATAATCAATATTTCATAGGCACAATTCACTTATGTTTTGTTTGTTTCAAAATTTTGCTAGCAAGTATCTCACTACGTATTGGAAATGAGAAAGATATGACCATCTTATTTTGGTAACAGTTGTGGTGGGTGAATGCCAAAATATTATGTAAAATAAAACCTTTAAGTAAGGGGAAGTAAGCTCACTATCTCAGCTTTCCCTCCCCTTGCCTGAGCTCATAGCATCAAGCTGTTAAGGACTGTACCAGTGATGGCATGTGTTCCCCAGAGAAAATGGAATGAGCCCACCAGATATCAGTAAATATTTCTTACTGTTTTGGTTTCCATGTGTCTTAAGTGTGAATTTTGAGTAAAGGTTTTATTCAAGCAAAAGGCTCCTTACTCATTTTTTCCTACAATAATATTACTAAAGCTTAGTTAATAGTATTCAACTATCTGTTCTACTCAGCAATATAATGTAATCTACTGAAATAAGAAATTATCTGAAAGGACTTTTTTTTCACATGGCTTTATAAAGCATCCTTGTTGAATGTTTGATGGAGAAAACGAGTTAATAACATGAGAGGTTTATACATTAACTATTTAATAACCAGTGGATTCAGGTAATTCTGTTTCTCCTGCTGCCACCCAAAGTCAGACCTCTCCCCAGATTCCTGATTTGTTGCAGCCATTTTTCTCCCTATATCGTAACTACCCAGCACTACCCTGCAAATCCTCAGGGACTGCCCATTGGCCATCTTATCATCAGCGTAAGGCTTCAGAATGATCTGAGGTCCACTACTGGTGTCTGCATTTCTTCCTTGGAGTCCATTCACAGGATTTAGTAAATATCTCTCCAGTGTTTCTCCAAAAGGCAAAATCCAAACACTGATGTTTAGTGCACATGAGGCCAGGAAAGGGATTTGCAAGGCAGCTGGCACAGCTGCTCTAGATTCTCATATTTTCTAAATCCCTTTTTCTTCTCCCCTTCAGTACCTCTGTCTTTTTCTCCATTCTCTCCATAGCACTTATCAACACTTGACAAACTATATCCTTTGCTCATTTAGCTGGTTTGTTGCCTATCAAGTTTCCAGTAGAAAGCAAGTATTATAAAGAGAAGGATTTTTGATGATTTTATCTGCTTTTATATCTCCAGTACCTAGAATAGTGCCTGGCACACAGTTAGTGTTCAATAAATATTTGTAGAAAGACTAATGTAGAGCAATGGTTCTCAACCTGGGGCGACTTAGCCCTCCAGAAGTATTTGGCAATGTTTGGACACTTTTTTTTTTTTTTTTTTTTTGAGCTATAGTCTTGCTCTGTTGCCCAGGCTGGAGTGCAGTGGCATGATGTTGACTCACTGTAACCTCCACCTCCGGACTCAAGCAATTCTGCTGCCTCAGCCTCCTGAGTAGCTAGGACTACACGCATGTGCCACCACGCCCAGCCAATTTTTGTATTTTTAGTAGAGATGGGGTTTCCACAATATTGGTCAGGCTGGTCTTGAACTCCTGACCTGCCTCAGCCTCCCAAAGTGCTGGGATTACAGGCGTGACCCACTGCGCCCGGCCTGGACACTTTTTTATCACTGAGGATTGAAGGGATAAGCAGTGCTATTGGCTTCCTAACAATGCACAGGACTGTCTCTGACCACAAAGGATTATCTGGCTCCAAATGCTGAAGTTAGGAAAACCGTGATGTGGAGCACAGAATCCTTGGATCCCTGCCAACAAGGCTGGCTACCATCTCTCCTGTGGCTCCTCTGGCTTATCTCCTGGACTATGGCTCTTTCTGTCTCATCTCCTGACCACACTTTCTATTTGCATTTTGTCATCCAGAAATTAAAATCTCTCATTTGCTCATTTTGCAGTGAATTTTTTTTTTTTTTTTGGTTCCTTTACCACTACTTTAATGTAGCTTTTTGAAGAAGAGGAAGCAAATGCCTGAGCTTAGCTGCCATCTTGAACCCAAAACTTGTATTACTTTTACCTTGTTTGAGTTACCCATTCCTCTGAGGTCTATAATATGACTGCTACAATAGAGCATTCTCTCTTCTCTGAATTCTTAGAATACTTACCATCAGTTTTGACCATTTGGGTAATGTATTCAGAAGAATTACTGCCCTAACAAAGAGACTACTAAAATAACTGTTAATATATACTTAAAGAAGAGAGAAGTTTATTTCTCTCCGATGTAACATTCTCAAATCGGGAGGTCTGAGTCAGTAAGTAGATGCCATGCCTCCACGTGATTAATCAGATCAGGCTCTCCACCTTGTACTCTCCATTCTTGATCATTGTTCTAGCCAAAAGGAGAAGAGCTGGAAGTAGACAGTTTTCTTTCTCAGTTTGTGATAAAAGGAGAAAGAAGCAGTCCTGTGTAGCATTTTTCTTCTAATATGTGCTCTTGGGATGCGTGTGTGTGTGTGTGTGTGAACATATTTATTTCTGGGAGATAAGAATACAAGATTTGTAATTTCTATTATTTTGCTCCTTCATATTTTTCCAATTTTTTTACATTGAACCTATGCTATATATATTTGTGGCCGCATTAGATATATCTTTAAACTAATTTGTTAAAAGAATTATATTTTTTTTTTTTTTTTTTTTTTTTGAGACGGATCTTCGCTCTGTAGCTCCAGGGCTGGGTGCAGCTGGCCACGATCTAGCTCACTGCAAGCTCCGCTCCCGGGTCACGCCATTTCTCACTGCCAGCCTCCCGAGTAGGCTGGGGACTACCAGGCGTCTGCCACCTCGCCCGGGCTAGTGTGTTTTTTGTATTTGATTGTAAGGAGACGCGGGTTTCACCGTGTTAGCGGTGGTCTCGATCTCCCTACTCGTTGACTCCACCCGTCTCGGCCTCCCAAACAGTGGCTGGGATTACCAGGCTTGGCGCAACCGCGCCCGGCAAGAATTACTATTAAATTAAAATGTATAGTAAAGATCTTCTATTCAGAAGCAAAGGAAATAACCAAATGGTGGAGGATAGAGATTTCTTTTAGATTTCAACAAAGAACTCAAACAACTGTACATAGAAGCAAAAAAAAAAATGTAAAGCCATTGTTTTCGTTGATTTTAAGTGAATTGAAAAAAAACTTGTCTCAAAGTATATCTTTAAACTGTAACTACTTATTATATTATTTCACCTTTCCAAAAACTATAATACGAAATCAATGTTTTGACCATAGTAAGAATTAAAACTCCTAACTTGACTGACTCCCCCCTCCCTTTGACTGAATACGTTGACATTTAACAATATTGAAAGTTAACTTTAGAAAGTTGGGAGAAAAAAACGGAAACATACAATGGAAGGTGGACAAAACGAGGTGTGGTGAGAGTGGCCACAGAATAGGGGGCTATAGACGTGTATTGCAGAGATGGTGACAGACATCAAACAGGATGTTCAACAGGGTGGTATGGAGGTCAACAGGTAGAATGAAATTCAAGTGAGGACATGGGGACACTATTTCGAAGAAGCATGAAATATAAACAGTA